GAGATGACCTTGAAAGTCGTGGTCAAGGCCATTGTCAAGATGACCATCATTTTGGTCTTTCGGAACTCGTTTTGTTTGGAACTTTATTTTCTAGGATGCCCAGTTCTCGAAAGATTTAGGCGGGGATATGACGACTACGCTTCACCTTTTTGTGTTTTTTCACAAATATAATTGTTTGATTAATACGATTATAGAGCTTTACGTCTTTGAAGAGACTTTTGGTGATCGGTTGCAGTCTGACTCGCTAGAAATAACAGGTTTGGTGTCAAAATAGGCTCAGTTTGTCCAAATCCACCAATAATACGTTTATTTCAGGATTAAGCTTTCAAAAATATTGCATTTGAAGAGAAGAAAAGCTAGTAAATCATGAGGCCTCAGCTTGCACCTGTGCTGCCAAATTCTGTTTGAACGTTCACTTTAGGGTATCCTGTGGATCTAAAAACTTGAGTAGTGTCTAAAACATGATAAGTCATATCCCTGATCCGGTCCTGCGTGTTATGACAGCCTCCCGTTCTGTTTATGAAGGATTAGTTGTGTCCCGACAACACTAATAAAGTAAAACGTACTCTGCCGTAAATGTTGGCAGACATGTAAATGTTGTTTGTAGTGCACGGGACTTAATATGAGCGCATTACCCTTAATGGGAAATCTTGGAGACGACCAAAGCACTAGGCGCAGCACTAAATTCATTAGCCGTTTGCAGTAACGTCTCTCTAGTGGATTGGAGTTAAGAAATGGACAAGGTAATGTTTATTTACCTGCTGTCTTGCCTGCCCGGAAACTTATGTAATGCTTTTATGCTAAAGCGAGTTACGTAAATACGTGCCGGTTGTTTGGACAAGCCAAATCACAGGATAGTGCTTCAAGTGCCCCTGGATTGCAATGGTACTATTGAGACGTAATAGCAGAGAAGAAACTTGCAGTGGGAATAGTCAAGGGTAGAGCTTTGACTGGGAAAATATTTTTTTTTGCAGAAATTGTCATGTATCAGATTACGCAACTTTCGGTAAAATAAAAATTCGAACACAAGATGCTTGCGCGGCTTTCAACATATTGACAGATGTGCGGCAAAATCCAACGTCGTGCTTCTAAACTACTAACTAGTAGCAAATATATTTCGGAAATATGCTGAATGTGCCTATACTTTTTCAACTTATCGTGAAAGTACAACCAGGAGTCCCTGACATTGTCAATGTTCCCTGACATTCTCAATGTTATATGTGACGTTTGACATCGAGGAAGTAGAGAGTTCTTGATACTCCTATATTTCTGCTTTATTATGATTTTTGGTATTCTGAGATTGCACAGTAGCGAGACGATCCTTTTTTCCCTTATCGAAATAAGAATCTCGGTTGTAAATAACCGAGGGCTTATTCCAAGGAAATTTTCATTAAAATAATTTCAAGTTATAAGAACATACTGGTTATAAAATGATGAAATATATGTTTTAGGTTATAGATAAAAATAAATGCAAGAAATTAGCAGTGCTCTAAATCTAATTGTTATCATTTTTGTTAATCAGTGCTTTTCAGAAAGTCCCTCTCCCTCCAATTACACTGGACAACAAATTTTAGTTTTTTAATTGTATCTTGTGGGAAAAGTGCACTTCTTTGTTAATTTTGGGGCGCTGAATCCAAAAATGATAATGAAATAAAAAGATTAGTTGCGGTTTAGAAAAAAAACTTTTTATTTTTAAGGATATATTAAAAAAAGTAATAAGACTCATATACTTATAAGAATCACTATATGCGCTGTCTTTTTGCTGTTCTTTTATGGATCGTTTCTGGAGCATCTCTACCAAGAGTCCAACAGTAGTCTGCAAGCATGGAAGGATTCCACTTTCCCTGGTACCTTTTTTCCATTGTTGAAATATCCTAATGAAAACGTTCGCCGTGCTCATCACTTACGGCTCCGCAATTGTCAGGAAAAAAGTCCAGGTGTGAGTGTATTAAATGTATCTTAAGAGACATATTACAGCCCATCTTTTGATACGATGACAGCATATTTTTGACAAGGGTTTTATAGTTGTCAGCTTTTCTATTTCCCAAGAAATTAGTGACCACCAGACGGAAATCATTCCAAGCAGGTTTTTCAATACCTGTTAATGTGTCTTCAAACTGTGTATCTTTCAAAATATTTCGAATCTGTGGCCCAACAAAAATACCTTCTTTAACCTTTGCCTCACTTAGTCTTGGAAATTTCTGACGCAGGTATTGAAAAGCTGACCCATCTCTATCTAATGCCTTGACAAAGTTTTTCATTAGGCCCAACTTGATATGCAGTGGTGGTAATAACATTTTTTTCGAATCTACTTATGGCATATGCTGTACATTTTTTTGACCTGGCTCTAGGAATTGACGAACAGGCCAGTTTTGTCTGGTGTAATGAAGTGCCTTTGCCCGACTGTCCCACTCACACAAAAAACAGCAAAACCTTGTGTAGCCTAGCTGCAGCCCAAGTAAAAGTGCAACAACTTTCAAATCGCCACAAATATGCCATTGGTGCTCATCGTATTTTATGCATGTCAATAGGTACTTCATATTGTCATACGATTCTTTCATGTGAACTGCAGGAAGAGATGGTAAAATATTTCCAATATGCAATAACACTGCCTTTAAACTCAATTTTGAACTGTCTATAAACAATCTCCATTCTTCTGGGTTATAGTTTATATTTAAAGCCGCCAGTAAGCCGTTAATGTTACTGCAGAAAACCAAGTTATTCTCCATATTGAAAAATGGTTCTTGTGACGTTTACGAAAAACACATACCGAAGCATCGTCTTCTAACAAGTTCCACTGCTGCAGTCTTGATCCAAGTAACTCTGCCTTACATTTTGGAACTTCTAAATCTCTTGCAAGATCATTTAATTCTGACTGTGTTATTTTGTGCGGTTGGTGGCATGACGTGCTCGGTATATAATCAGGATCTCTTGACGTTGATTGCATATCTTCTTCCTGACGAATCACTCGATCGCCATGATCTGATTCATTTTCTGATTCGCAAGTGTAGGATTCTGGGGGTTTTGGAATAGGATTTTCGTCACTGTGAGGCACAGGTCTCATCGCAGATGGTATGTTTGGGTAGTTAATAACCGATTTTTTTTTCTTGTCCAACACAAGGTACCATGCAAAAGTAACAATCATTAATATGATTTGTAGGCTCTCTCCAAACCATTGGGACAGCTAAGCGCATAGACCGTTTTTTGCCATTTAACCAGCTCCTCAGACTTGAAGCACATGTATTACAGCAGATGTGGGGTGCCCACTGTTTGTCTTGATCACCTAGTTTACAACCGAAATAAAGCTGATATGCCTTTGTTATTAGTGGAGTAATAGACCGACTCTGAGACGCAAAAGTCACATCACCACACACGTAACAAAACTGATCTGGATTGTTTACACACTTTCGAGACATCTTGCATGAACGCTGTCAGCCAACTGAGGAAAAAATGGCTAATATAAAACAATATAATGTACACGTATGTATAACGTATCACAATCATGCCGATTACATCATCTTTCCTTGCCGAATATAAAAATGTAGCACGTGCATTCTTGTGAATTACAGTATATTAATACTGTCACAGCAGGAACACATATAATTACCGTATCTCTAAAACTTGAACTAATATTGAAAAAATAAGTTCCATTCCGGTTTTAGCACATTAAAAATAGTAGTAGTTTTGTTGATTTTATTTAGGATATTTTTTTGGCTGTTGATCAGTGTTATTTTTTGGACAAGTCAAGCTAGGGAGCTGAAATTGGGGATAATAAAATTGACGTCAAATACCGAAAGATTAAGAGTTGAATTATTAGGAAATAAAACGGGAACTATGGGATAAATTATTTGGAAGCACATGATTAGTACTTTATAATCGTAGAAAATAAAATTATCACCTTTCAAAATGGCGGACTGGAAGGCTGTCAAAGTTGTGCATTTTTGTACATTGCATCACTTATATCTCAGTAGTGGCGTTATTTTGCTTCACGACAATGCTCTACCGCACGTTGCGGCAAGAAGACAGATGCAACTGAACACGTTGCACTGCGAATCACTGGCTCATCCACCATTGAAACCCAACTTAGCACTTGATTGAATGATTTCACGTTGAACTAACAGCGTATTTGACGACAGGATCAACAAGCTTGAACAACATTTGAATGCTTACGGTGGCTATGTCAAAATATCAAAACATGTTTATATTCTAGTTTGTTATACAATTTACATTCCTGAACAAAACTCCGAGTCCATTACCAATCGGTTCTTGGTTCAAAAATAAGCATCTAAAGTGTAATGCGCCGATTTGAATTAATAGTAGTATGTAGTATGTAGTAATTCTACATGAGTGTCTCGTACAGTTATAATGCAAAAAGGCTACTTAAGCTTGCCTACTGGGAAGAAGGTACAAAATCTTTTTAAGGCAAAACTTGCCCATATCGGACTGTAAGGATATCTTTTTTAAAACCTAAGAGTTGCTGTTATTAACTCCCCCAAACTCCGCCACTTCAATCTGTATCTAAACAAGGAATAAACGCTTTTTCGACAAATAACTTAAGCTAAACGTATCCAACTTTAACAAATTCCTACTCACTCTGACACCTCAGACTAATGTGTGGCATCGGTCTTCCGGATGTGCCTGGCGTGAAAAAGACACATCGTCTGCCTTATCGGTCACTGCAAACTGCAGGTGACGAATTACCTAATGTTACTAGTTGGACTGTCCGTCTCTCTCTTGGGACTAGGAGTATCCGTATTTGGTTTGTATGTATTCGGGTGACATTTTTTTCAATTGCATATAATTAACAAGTGTTATATTAGAATTAGAGGTAGAATTAGAGCAATGACTTAGGTACATGTGGCATTTTGGGGCAATGTTACAATCTTGCCTAATTAATTTATACGTAAGGGAAGATGCACTTAGATGACAACAGAATTCGGTGGTTAAGCAACTTAGTAAGAAATTTCGCGTATATCCTTACCTTGGTTTTCAAGTCTTACTTTTCAGAGACAAATGCTCAGACAGTCCTCTGTTTTTTTTATACTGAATCAGATACGGCACAGCAACAGTACCAAGGTGCTGCTACTTTTTTTGTTGTTGCTGCTGCTGCTAAGATTTTTGATCTAACGTCGGTAGAACTGGGAAAAGCCTCTTTTGGTGGATTGAGGAGCGGTCTTATCAGACGTAATTCTTTTATTTCCTGTAGATGTGATAAAATATGAATGGAAAAAAAAATCAAAACCATGGACAAAATGGTAGCGAAACAACATAGATTAAAACAATTTTTTTTTGAAGGACTTTAACATTTATTTGCGACCTTACCTTTCTGGAAGATTATTGAAAAGTTTTATACGTAAGTAATTTGGTGTGATTTGGCTGCATTTATAGTTACAAATAGGTAAATGTAATTGAGTTTTTATCCTGCTATTGTGCATGTGAATATCACAGATCACAAAAAAGTGTGACTACTCGAAAATACATAAGTGGCAATTTCTAGTATATACAAAGAAGTCAATTTTAGTAATCTCCAATTTTTTAACAGCAATCTACTCAGTGCTAAACTTTTAATAATCTTCTTTTGAGATAAAAGCCTTTCATTTGCGTGGGATAAACTACCTCATAGGGAAATGCCTTAACGAAGTCTAGGTTCAATAATCTCATAGTATATATTCAGTAAATGAGGACAACTTAAAACAACTCTTAAATTCCGAAAAACATATACACAAGAGGATTATGATTTACAGAGTTGTCGCAGCGGCCTGTCCAACTTAAACACTCATCAATCAAGACTACGAGGAATTTTATATCTCCAGCACCGATCAGTTGACTGCCGGCCAATCATGTACAGTTGCTTTATGTTTATTGGCAATCATCAGGACGTCCTAAGTTTGTTATCTAGGTAGGACCATGAACGAAAGCAGAGCAAAGTATGATCCATTTGAGGTATAAAGTATATCCAAATAAGATTGCTCAAGTTATTGAGGCTGGCCACCAGATCGACTAACAATCGTTGGCGGTTTCTTTCTAAAGATAGAAATTTCAAGAGACTTAATCCACCTTCCTCCTGTCTATTTATGGCAGGATATGGTTCAAAGGGTTCGAAAGGGGTCCAAAAGGGGTTCAAATATTTACTGCGAAGACTTTTCCTTGCAGGGGATATCTTTCACTTCATTCACACATAGTCATGAGATCTAGTGAGGGTATACCTTAAGATTGGACCTTTTTGTAGGTATTCGAAAAATAAAGTATTTTAGTAGTTTAGTTTTTACCAAGAACGAAAATCTATCCAGTAGCAGCGAGGCTTCGGCAAGAAAAAAAAACGGTAAAATTCACACTAGATCCGTTATTTGGGGTTTCTGAGACTGATGCTCTTTTTGAAACTTTCTGGAGGGGAAAAATTGTTGAGGAGAGAGTTGCAAGGGGCGGTGAAGAGTATATCGTAATTTTTTGGTGTGAGTATATCTATCTATACGTTTCTGGCCTGGTGATTATACGCAGCTATTAGACATATTTCACACAAATTGCTCCGAGCATTCGCCCTTTACACTTAGAATGATATAAGAGGTCGGTTCATCGCAGCAGAGATTAAAAGGTTACTTTAGATCGCAACATTGTTGAATAGATGAGAACTGGTGACCAATAAATTGTATGGGCGTATTTGACTGATTCCAATCGATGTAATTTTTCATAGCTTACACATAGTCTCATGTCAACGTTCTTACCGACACTTGTTACCAGTAGTGTCTCTGCACTAACTCTAATTCAAATCAGGTGCTTCAAAATAAGTTGAACAATCAGTTTATCTTCCACTAGCTTATATTGCGTATGATCTACGGCACTGTTTTGTAAGAGAAAAGTAAGCAATAATTATGTATAGATAATAAAGCATGTAGCTAATAAATTACCTTCAAACCTAATAAAATTACAATTTATGCGCTAGAGACACCAATACGCCAATACCACCTGCAGCTACAACATGTAATAGAAGCCGTACCAACCGAAGTGTTAATTGCAATTTTCTTTTAATTCTAAAAACTATATACCTACACGCAACCGCAATAATAATGATTTATGTTCCCATGCAAAAATACCTGAGCAGGCGTCGTAATTTTCTCACTCTTGTCCGCCGAAAAAATAGACGCGAAAAGCCTGCGAGGTTTATGTAAACTAAGCACAAATTACTTACATTGGAAGATCATTTGCATAGCTGTAAAGTGTAACAAGTCAGCGGTGACTCGTTAGGTCTTTCGATCTTGGTTAAAATCAGACGTGATTGCCCTGATACCACGCAAAGTTAGGGAGAGATGGAAGAAGGAAGAAGGGAAAGAAGGAGAAGAGCAACGAGGAGGAAGTACGTCCGTTGAAGTGGTGCAAAACCGTTATTTAAGTTGGACCTAAAGTAGCACGATTTAATTTTGTTCAAACACAGCCTCGGTTTTTTGTGCTTGTAAACTTGCTCAACTGACTACAAAATGTTGCTGTGATAACGTCGCTGCGCGTGTTGTTAACTTTTTTGGCCGCCAACTAGGAATGCCTAGGATGTACTGTAAAAAGTACGACTACTACTCTACAATTGCTGTATCAGGGAGTCCAGTACTGTATGAAGTTTCGTGGTTCCACGGGACAAATTGTCAACCTGTCGAATTGTCTGTCGAAATTGTCAATAATGAAAGAAATCAAGTTCAGGTTGGAACGTTATACAGGATGACTTCGAAGTTGAGTCATTTATTTTAACAGTGAGTAGATCTGATCAAAAGAAATGTTTTTTTCCTTTACCATTTTTCCGGTAAAACTAAAGTAACAAAGTTATAGCCCTTTGGAAGGTTGAGTACCGCCCTCTCTCAATAATAATATTATGTGCTCGTGTTTGGCAACAACGGATATAATCCGCCTTATCGGTTCATCGCATCGGAAACAAAAAAGCGAATGAATCTGGAACGATGTTTTTACAATTATTTTATTCAGTTGTATACAGTCAGTGTCAGTCGGTAACGCGTGAGTGAATAGTGGTGTCTGTTGCGTGGCTCAAACGAAATCAAAAATGGCACATGTTTACGAAAATGCTGAACTTGTGGACATGATTCTTATTTACGCGGCATCACGGATTTATGCGGATCGGTTTCCCAATCGAGTGCAACCAACCCCTCGCGCCTTTGTTAATGTAGTACAAAGGGCTCGTGAATCAGGTGACTTAAGACCTCACAGGGGAGGGCATGCCGGTGCTCTAAGACCGCACGATCAGATACAGGTCCGCACTGAAATACTTGTCTGGAGGATACTTTATAAAACAAGGTAACATTTTTTTTTTATTTTTTTTTATTTTTACACACATATTTTGGTTTATCTTCCTTCTACAATCATTATCTGAAAATTAATGACTCAACTTCAAAGTCAAGTTATGGGTTACTTCCTAGGACTACACGAAGTCGTAACACTTACATACATTCAGATATGCTGTGTCTCATTTTACACAACCTGCTGGGCAAGGTGATGTGTTACTACAGAAAGGGGGGGGGGGCAGATATGCCTATGGTAAGTATGCGCACTGGATGGTGAAACATAAACCAGTGATCTTAACCTAATGGATGTTACAACAACACATCGGGTGCTCTATATTCCAGCTGTCCCAGGAACCTGAAGTTTTACATAAATAAACCTTACAGCCTAATCTGACCTGCAATCCCAGGAATCACCTGTTGGAGCTCACCTGGTGAGGTCAACCAGCCCTCAGATGGTCAAATGTAGGTATGCAGCAGGAAGCAAGAGACGAAGTGAAGAAGAAACAGAATAAAAAGTACGAAAAAGGCCTGTGGACAAGAATCAAGCATAAGCTACATGCACTTCAAAGCAATTAATCAGGTACTACATGAGTGCTTCTAGCATCAGTTAAGGGCATCAAAAAAAAGCTAAACTACCTACCTAGGGTGTAGAGTGGCCTTTTGTGTAGAGGGAAATCTACCAATCCTAATAATCCCACAATACTGGTGGTACACCTATAGCAATTGGAATTGTGAAGATTTCTCTTTCAGCTATTTTGCGGTTCCATATCCGCCTTTGCGTAACAGACGCTTTTCGGTACCGAAAATTTTGCAATGGCGATCCCTTCTTTTTTTACTTCTTGCGCGCGTCTCGCGCCTGACATTTCCACGCCAGTTGATATGCTATCATTCTCACCTTTGATAGTGACAGCCGACTTGACACCTGTCCGCAAACTTCATTGCTATTAAGGTTATAAAATTGTAAACATTGACTAGGATGCCTTCAGTGGCACTAAGTTATGAAACGGAACAAGCAATTTGACTTCAATGGTGTGAGTTAAGTATCTGCTACTTATTGAGTTTTGTTTCAGGGCAGGTCCACCAGAAGGGAGCGGATCAACAGGTGAAAACAGGAATGAAAATGCTATGTACAATGTATATACCCCTATACGCAATAAATTTTAGCAAGGGTATGAGATCCATATACCTACTCTTATCTATCTATATCGTATCTTATGAACTGTCAAACGAGTAAGTAGTAGACAACCTTCTAATTCGTAAAACCTATGCAACTATAACTTACAACAAAAAAAGGTCGTAACACCGTTATCTGATGTAGTATGAACTTCCCTATGAAAGGTCTCCTTGGGGACATTGAGAATTTGTGACTGCACGCCCGGTTCTGATCTGCAGAACATACAGGCCATGCATATGTGTTTTGGGGAAATAAATATCATGCCTCGAAAGCGCAAGTGATTGATGGTTTAAGATCTATTTTTTACAGTCGACGCTTTTTAACCTTCAGTGAGTTTCTGCCAGCTGACCTCCTTATCAAAAGTAACACCAAGATATTTGGCAGAATTTTTTCATGGCGTGATCTCAAACCGAGCATCATTACGTCTGTTAGTAGTAGTAGCCAGAACGACAGGGTTCTCAACTCATAATAATTCTTGTTCTAAATTCACACAAAATTTCAAAATAATTCAATCAGGAAGGGCGACATTAATTAATATAAAGTTTTATAATAAATATGGAGTATTGGAATAAAGGTTCTAGTAATATTGAACGTGACAAGAGTCCTTTTGCAAGAATACACATGTTTTCTGCAATTGTCGGACGCCACGGAGGATCCGACAGGCTTCTTCACGACAGGATTATCCCCGTATAAAAAAGAAATGGTCTTAATAAAGACAACACATTATTTGCAGTCAGGTTTCTGCCGGTGAGGAAGTATATAAAATTTTTTTAAGGTGCATACTCCTGTGTGGTGTTTGGTTTTAT